GCTTATTAAAACCTCCAGTAAACTTTTATATGGATTGTTCATTCTGCTTGAATACTTCAATTACTCAATGTAATTTATTATAACATTTCTATCATAAATGAGTGAAAGTTACTTCATTATTTTTATTTATTGGCCTGAAAAGTTGAAATTTTGAGGAAATGACATGTATAAATGGACCAAAAGAGACCTTATAAAGAAAACAAAGGGGTCCATTAGTGGTATTTATCATCCTAAAGTCATCTTTTGTATCATATTCAACTGTTTTTAGGAAGATGAGATAAATATTTAATCATTATTGGTCCACACTATATTCTATCATGATGTGGCTTGGTTTGGATTTTTCGAAGAAATTTTGCACGAATCGCTGAAGATGTCGTCGTACATTATACTAGATTATTCTCAAACTATTGAACTGATTATGACAAAACATGGCAGGAATGCTTGAAAAAAACAGTATTACAAAGGAAAAAATCCCTTTCAGTTTATTGAATAAAAATGTCTTCTTCAGGTGTAATACCACCAAATCATGGCACGTCACATCCGGTTGCATACAAAAATAGGTCGAAAAAATATTCCCTTGAATTTGACAGTTGTAGGTAATTAATCCATCATTTTATTGCAGTAAAACATTTCTGGGTCAAAAACATATAAATGTATCTTGAGTATTTCAAAGCATCCTTTTTTTATTATTTGGGGTTTCTGTAGAATATTTTGGAAACTTGAGGTTACATGGTTACTAAAGCTTGTACACAGGTTATATAAGGAGGGAAATTTGATTGGTTAACTGACAGTTATGGTTATTTTCTTATATGCAATGACATTTTATGTGAATTTTTTTCTATAGTACTGGACAGGATAAAACTTTACTCATGCAAAGTATTTTTTAATTTGAAACAAAGATAAATTCTGCACAATTTTTTGAAAAGTGCAAATTTAAAAAGACTAATAGGGGAAAATCAATGGTGGTATAACACCTAATATGGGGTGCTGTACATGCACCTTTGATCTTGTGAGTACTCTCATGTGTTAAAATTTCTTGCTGTTCAAATGAAATATTACAAACAATGAAATATTCTGAGTGGATTGAGTCTCCAAAACACATTTTATGAGAACATTTCCTTGAAATAGGACTCTACCATGAATATTAGTTAACAGAACAAGCCATACTTCACGGTGTTTTTGGGAGCTTTTTATCCTTTTTTCTTATATTCTGCTATAATAGAAAGTTTTCTCTCAGAAATATTTTAATAAATATATAGTTATAAGTAAATGTGATAATTTTTTCAAGCAGTAACAACAAATTATTCACTAATAGAGAAGCTTTTTATGTCCCTCTCTGGAACGCAGCGTAAATTTTAGTTTTACGTAAGGGCTTATTAAAACCTCCAGTAAACTTTTATATGGATTGTTCATTCTGCTTGAATACTTCAATTACTCAATGTAATTTATTATAACATTTCTATCATAAATGAGTGAAAGTTACTTCATTATTTTTATTTATTGGCCTGAAAAGTTGAAATTTTGAGGAAATGACATGTATAAATGGACCAAAAGAGACCTTATAAAGAAAACAAAGGGGTCCATTAGTGGTATTTATCATCCTAAAGTCATCTTTTGTATCATATTCAACTGTTTTTAGGAAGATGAGATAAATATTTAATCATTATTGGTCCACACTATATTCTATCATGATGTGGCTTGGTTTGGATTTTTCGAAGAAATTTTGCACGAATCGCTGAAGATGTCGTCGTACATTATACTAGATTATTCTCAAACTATTGAACTGATTATGACAAAACATGGCAGGAATGCTTGAAAAAAACAGTATTACAAAGGAAAAAATCCCTTTCAGTTTATTGAATAAAAATGTCTTCTTCAGGTGTAATACCACCAAATCATGGCACGTCACATCCGGTTGCATACAAAAATAGGTCGAAAAAATATTCCCTTGAATTTGACAGTTGTAGGTAATTAATCCATCATTTTATTGCAGTAAAACATTTCTGGGTCAAAAACATATAAATGTATCTTGAGTATTTCAAAGCATCCTTTTTTTATTATTTGGGGTTTCTGTAGAATATTTTGGAAACTTGAGGTTACATGGTTACTAAAGCTTGTACACAGGTTATATAAGGAGGGAAATTTGATTGGTTAACTGACAGTTATGGTTATTTTCTTATATGCAATGACATTTTATGTGAATTTTTTTCTATAGTACTGGACAGGATAAAACTTTACTCATGCAAAGTATTTTTTAATTTGAAACAAAGATAAATTCTGCACAATTTTTTGAAAAGTGCAAATTTAAAAAGACTAATAGGGGAAAATCAATGGTGGTATAACACCTAATATGGGGTGCTGTACATGCACCTTTGATCTTGTGAGTACTCTCATGTGTTAAAATTTCTTGCTGTTCAAATGAAATATTACAAACAATGAAATATTCTGAGTGGATTGAGTCTCCAAAACACATTTTATGAGAACATTTCCTTGAAATAGGACTCTACCATGAATATTAGTTAACAGAACAAGCCATACTTCACGGTGTTTTTGGGAGCTTTTTATCCTTTTTTCTTATATTCTGCTATAATAGAAAGTTTTCTCTCAGAAATATTTTAATAAATATATAGTTATAAGTAAATGTGATAATTTTTTCAAGCAGTAACAACAAATTATTCACTAATAGAGAAGCTTTTTATGTCCCTCTCTGGAACGCAGCGTAAATTTTAGTTTTACGTAAGGGCTTATTAAAACCTCCAGTAAACTTTTATATGGATTGTTCATTCTGCTTGAATACTTCAATTACTCAATGTAATTTATTATAACATTTCTATCATAAATGAGTGAAAGTTACTTCATTATTTTTATTTATTGGCCTGAAAAGTTGAAATTTTGAGGAAATGACATGTATAAATGGACCAAAAGAGACCTTATAAAGAAAACAAAGGGGTCCATTAGTGGTATTTATCATCCTAAAGTCATCTTTTGTATCATATTCAACTGTTTTTAGGAAGATGAGATAAATATTTAATCATTATTGGTCCACACTATATTCTATCATGATGTGGCTTGGTTTGGATTTTTCGAAGAAATTTTGCACGAATCGCTGAAGATGTCGTCGTACATTATACTAGATTATTCTCAAACTATTGAACTGATTATGACAAAACATGGCAGGAATGCTTGAAAAAAACAGTATTACAAAGGAAAAAATCCCTTTCAGTTTATTGAATAAAAATGTCTTCTTCAGGTGTAATACCACCAAATCATGGCACGTCACATCCGGTTGCATACAAAAATAGGTCGAAAAAATATTCCCTTGAATTTGACAGTTGTAGGTAATTAATCCATCATTTTATTGCAGTAAAACATTTCTGGGTCAAAAACATATAAATGTATCTTGAGTATTTCAAAGCATCCTTTTTTTATTATTTGGGGTTTCTGTAGAATATTTTGGAAACTTGAGGTTACATGGTTACTAAAGCTTGTACACAGGTTATATAAGGAGGGAAATTTGATTGGTTAACTGACAGTTATGGTTATTTTCTTATATGCAATGACATTTTATGTGAATTTTTTTCTATAGTACTGGACAGGATAAAACTTTACTCATGCAAAGTATTTTTTAATTTGAAACAAAGATAAATTCTGCACAATTTTTTGAAAAGTGCAAATTTAAAAAGACTAATAGGGGAAAATCAATGGTGGTATAACACCTAATATGGGGTGCTGTACATGCACCTTTGATCTTGTGAGTACTCTCATGTGTTAAAATTTCTTGCTGTTCAAATGAAATATTACAAACAATGAAATATTCTGAGTGGATTGAGTCTCCAAAACACATTTTATGAGAACATTTCCTTGAAATAGGACTCTACCATGAATATTAGTTAACAGAACAAGCCATACTTCACGGTGTTTTTGGGAGCTTTTTATCCTTTTTTCTTATATTCTGCTATAATAGAAAGTTTTCTCTCAGAAATATTTTAATAAATATATAGTTATAAGTAAATGTGATAATTTTTTCAAGCAGTAACAACAAATTATTCACTAATAGAGAAGCTTTTTATGTCCCTCTCTGGAACGCAGCGTAAATTTTAGTTTTACGTAAGGGCTTATTAAAACCTCCAGTAAACTTTTATATGGATTGTTCATTCTGCTTGAATACTTCAATTACTCAATGTAATTTATTATAACATTTCTATCATAAATGAGTGAAAGTTACTTCATTATTTTTATTTATTGGCCTGAAAAGTTGAAATTTTGAGGAAATGACATGTATAAATGGACCAAAAGAGACCTTATAAAGAAAACAAAGGGGTCCATTAGTGGTATTTATCATCCTAAAGTCATCTTTTGTATCATATTCAACTGTTTTTAGGAAGATGAGATAAATATTTAATCATTATTGGTCCACACTATATTCTATCATGATGTGGCTTGGTTTGGATTTTTCGAAGAAATTTTGCACGAATCGCTGAAGATGTCGTCGTACATTATACTAGATTATTCTCAAACTATTGAACTGATTATGACAAAACATGGCAGGAATGCTTGAAAAAAACAGTATTACAAAGGAAAAAATCCCTTTCAGTTTATTGAATAAAAATGTCTTCTTCAGGTGTAATACCACCAAATCATGGCACGTCACATCCGGTTGCATACAAAAATAGGTCGAAAAAATATTCCCTTGAATTTGACAGTTGTAGGTAATTAATCCATCATTTTATTGCAGTAAAACATTTCTGGGTCATAAACATATACATGTATCTTGGGTATTTCAAAGAATCATTATTGTTTTATTTGGGATTTCTATAGAATATTTTGGAAACTTGAGGTTGCATGGTTACTAAAGCTTGTACACAAAAGATGCGCCTGTTTCTCCTCTTCAAGACCTATATAGTCATACCCCGTGACACCCCTCATTACTTTTCTCTAGAAGCCATGGAATAGGCCAACCCCCCTGTTTTTAACAAACTTTTTTCAAATTTTGAGCTCTAGTTTCAAATTTTTGAACATAGCGCCCTTCGATACCTTGCGCAAAAGATGCGCCTGTCTCTCCTCTACAAGACCTATATAGTCATACCCCATGACACCCCTCATTATTTTTCTCTAGAAGCCATGGAATAGGCCAACCCCCCTGTTTTTAACAATTTTTTTTCAAATTTTGAGCTCTAGTTTCAAATTTTTGAACATAGCGCCCTTCGATACCTTGCGCAAAAGATGCGCCTGTTTCTCCTCTACAAGACCTATATAGTCATACCTAGTGACACCCCTCATTATTTTTCTCTAGAAGCCATGGAATAGGCCAACCCCCCTGTTTTTAAGAACTTTTTTTCAAATTTTGAGCTCTAGTTTCAGATTTTTGAACATAGCGCCCTTCGATACCTTGCGCAAAAGATGCGCCTGTTTCTCCTCTACAAGACCTATATAGTGATACCCCGTGATACCCCTCATTATTTTTCTCTAGAAGCCATGGAATAGGCCAACCCCCCTGTTTTTAACATTTTTTTTGTCAAATTTTGAGCTCTAATTTCAAATTTTTTAACATAGCACCCTTCGAAACCTTGCGCAAAAGATGCGCCTGTTTCTCCTCTACAAGACCAATTTAGTCATACCCCGTGAACCCCTCATTATTTTTCTCTAGAAGCCATGGAATAGGCCAACCCCCCTGTTTTTAACAAATTTTTTTCAAATTTTGAGCTCTAGTTTCAGATTTTTGAACACAGCGCCCTTCGATACTTTGCGCAAAGGATGCGCCTGTTTCTCCTCTGCAAGACCTATATAGTCATACCCCGTGATACCCCTCATTATTTTTCTCTAGAAGCCATGGAATAGGCCAACCCCCCTGTTTTTAACATTTTTTTTGTCAAATTTTGAGCTCTAGTTTCAGATTTTTGAACATAGCACCCTTCGATACCTTGCGCAAAAGATGCGCCTGTTTCCCCTCTACAAGACCAATTTAGTCATACCCCGTGACACCCCTCATTATTTTTCTCTAGAAGCCATGGAATAGGCCAACCCTCCTGTTTTTAACATTTTTTTTTTCAAATTTTGAGCTCTAGTTTCAGATTTTTTAACATAGCGCCCTTCGATACCTTGCGCAAAAGATGCGCCTGTTTCTCCTCTACAAGACCTATATAGTCATACCCCGTGACACCCCTCATTATTTTTCTCTAGAAGCCATAGAATAGCCCCCCCCCCTGTTTTTTACAATTTTTTTCAAATTTTGAGCTCTAGTTTCAGGTTTTTGAACATAGCGCCCTTCGATATCTTACGCAAAAAATGCGCCTGTTTCTCCTCTACAAGACCTATATAGTCATACCTAGTGACACCCCTCATTATTTTTCTCTAGAAGCCATGGAATAGGCCAACCCCCCTGTTTTTAACATTTTTTTTCAAATTTTGAGCTCTAGTTTCAGATTTTTGAACATAGCGCCCTTCGATACCTTGCGCAAAAGATGCGCCTGTTTCTCCTCTTCAAGACCTTTATAGTCATACCCCGTGACACCCCTCATTATTTTTCTCTAGAAGCCATGGAATAGGCCAACCCCCCTGTTTTTAACAATTTTTTTTTCAAATTTTGAGCTCTAGTTTTAGATTTTTGAACATAGCGCCCTTTGATACCTTGCGCAAAAGATGCGCCTGTTTCTCCTCTACAAGACCTATATAGTCATACCCCGTAACACCCCTCATTATTTTTCTCTAGAAGCCATGGAATAGGCCAACCCCCCTGACTTTAACAATTTTTTTTCACATTTTGAGCTCTAGTTTCAGATTTTTGAACATAGCGCCCTTCGATACCTTGCGCAAAAGATGCGCCTGTTTCTCCTCTACAAGACCTATATAGTCATACCCCGTGACACCCCTCATTATTTTTCTCTAGAAGCCATGGAATAGGCCAACCCCCCTGTTTTTAACAATTTTTTTTCAAATTTTGAGCTCTAGTTTCAGATTTTTGAACATAGCGCCCTTCAATACCTTGCTCAAAAAATGCGCCTGTTTCTCCTCTACAAGACCTATATAGTCATACCCCGTGACACCCCTCATTATTTTTCTCTAGAAGCCATGGAATAGGCCAACCACCCTGTTTTTAAGAACTTTTTTTCAAATTTTGAGCTCTAGTTTCAGATTTTTGAACATAGCGCCCTTCGATACCTTGCGCAAAAGATGCGCCTGTTTCTCCTCTTCAAGACCTATATAGTTATACCCCGTGACACCCCTCATTATTTTTCTCTAGAAGCCATGGAATAGGCCAACCCCCCTGTTTTTAACAATTTTTTTTTCAAATTTTGAGCTCTAGTTTTAGATTTTTGAACATAGCGCCCTTTGATACCTTGCGCAAAAGATGCGCCTGTTACTCCTCTACAAGACCTATATAGTCATACCCCGTAACACCCCTCATTATTTTTCTCTAGAAGCCATGGAATAGGCCAACCCCCCTGACTTTAACAATTTTTTTTCACATTTTGAGCTCTAGTTTCAGATTTTTGAACATAGCGCCCTTCGATACCTTGCGCAAAAGATGCGCCTGTTTCTCCTCTACAAGACCTATATAGTCATACCCCGTGACACCCCTCATTATTTTTCTCTAGAAGCCATGGAATAGGCCAACCCCCCTGTTTTTAACAATTTTTTTTCAAATTTTGAGCTCTAGTTTCAGATTTTTGAACATAGCGCCCTTCAATACCTTGCTCAAAAAATGCGCCTGTTTCTTCTCTACAAGACCTATATAGTCATACCCCGTGACACCCCTCATTATTTTTCTCTAGAAGCCATGGAATAGGCCAACCACCCTGTTTTTAAGAACTTTTTTTCAAATTTTGAGCTCTAGTTTCAGATTTTTGAACATAGCGCCCTTCGATACCTTGCGCAAAAGATGCGCCTGTTTCTCCTCTTCAAGACCTATATAGTCATACCCCGTGACACCCCTCATTATTTTTCTCTAGAAGCCATGGAATAGGCCAACCCCCCTGTTTTTAACAATTTTTTTTCAAATTTTGAGCTCTAGTTTCAGATTTTTGAACATAGCGCCCTTCGATACCTTGCGCAAAAGATGCGCCTGTTTCTCCTCTTCAAGACCTATATAGTCATACCCCGTGACACCCCTCATTATTTTTCTCTAGAAGCCATGGAATAGGCCAACCCCCCTGTTTGTAACAATTTTTTTTCAAATTTTGAGCTCTAGTTTCAGATTTTTGAACATAGCGCCCTTCAATACCTTGCTCAAAAAATGCGCCTGTTTCTCTTCTACAAGACCTATATAGTCATACCCCGTGACACCCCTCATTATTTTTCTCTAGAAGCCATGGAATAGGCCAACCCCCCTGTTTTTAACAATTTTTTTTCAAATTTTGAGCTCTAGTTTCAGATTTTTGAACATAGCGCCCTTCGATACCTTGCGCAAAAGATGCGCCTGTTTCTCCTCTTCAAGACCTATATAGTCATACCCCGTGACACCCCTCATTATTTTTCTCTAGAAGCCATGGAATAGGCCAACCCCCCTGTTTTTAACAATTTTTTTCAAATTTTGAGCTCTAGTTTCAGATTTTTGAACATAGCGCCCTTCGATACCTTTCTCAAAAAATGCGCCTGTTTCTCCTCTACAAGACCTATATAGTCATACCCCGTGACACCCCTCATTATTTTTCTCTAGAAGCCATGGAATAGGCCACCCCCCCTGTTTTTAACAATTTTTTTCAAATTTTGAGCTCTAGTTTCAGATTTTTGAACATAGCGCCCTTCAATGCCTTGCTAAAAAAATGCGCCTGTTTCTCCTCTACAAGACCTATATAGTCATACCCCGTGACACCCCTCATTATTTTTCTCTAGAAGCCATGGAATAGGCCAACTTTTAACATTTTTTTTTCAAATTTTGAGCTCTAGTTTCAGATTTTTGAACATAGCGCCCTTCGATACCTTGCGCAAAAGATGCGCCTGTTTCTCCTCTACAAGACCTATATAGTCATACCCCGTGACACCTCTCATTATTTTTCTCTAGAAGCCATGGAATAGGCCAACCCCCCTGTTTTTAACAATTTTTTTTCAAATTTTGAGCTCTAGTTTCAGATTTTTGAACATAGCGCCCTTCGATACCTTGCGCAAAAGATGCGCCTGTTTCTCCTCTACAAGACCTATATAGTCATACCCCGTTACACCCCTCATTATTTTTCTCTAGAAGCCATGGAATAGGCCAATCCCCCTGTTTTTGACAATTTTTTTTCAAATTTTGAGCTCTAGTTTCAGATTTTTGAACATAGCGCCCTTCGATACCTTGCGCAAAAGATGTGCCTTTTTCTCCTCTTCAAGACCTATATGGTCATATCCCGTGATACCCCTCATTATTTTTCTCTAGAAGCCATGGAATAGGCCAACCCCCCCGTTTTTAACATTTTTTTTTCAAATTTTGAGCTCTAGTTTCAGATTTTTTAACATAACGCCCTTCGATACCTTGATCAAAAGATGCGCCTGTTTCTCCTCTACAAGACCTATATAGTCATACCCCGTTACACCCCTCATTATTTTTCTCTAGAAGCCATGGAATAGGCCACCCCCCTGTTTTTAACAATTGTTTTCAAATTTTGAGCTCTAGTTTCAGATTTTTGAACATAGCGCCCTTCGATATATTGCGCAAAAGATGCGCCTGTTTCTCCTCTACAAGACCTATATAGTCATACCCCGTGACACCCCTCATTATTTTTCTCTAGAAGCCATGGAATAGGCCAAAATCCCTGTTTGTAACAATTTTTTTTCAAATTTTGAGCTCTAGTTTCAGATTTTTGAACACAGCGCCCTTCAATACTTTGCGCAAAAGATGCGACTGTTTCTCCTCTATAAGACCTATATAGTCATACCCCGTGACACCCCTCATTATTTTTCTCTAGAAGCCATGGAATAGGCCAATCCTCATATCTGCAAATGTGTATCTTAGTTCAATTAAACAATGACATCAAAGGTGCTGTATTTTACAGGGAAGGACTACTTTTACATACGCTCTAAATAGAAGTGGGTGCATTGGTGGTCTTACACCTACAAATATTCCCTTGACAGATGCAGATTTACTGTGGTACTGAATATTAGCCTAAAAAGAGATGTGACTTGTTTTATCAATAGATGGGATTAATACCATTTCATGATAGAGTTGAAATTGCAATATTTGGACGGAATTTCTGCCTTTTTTAATATTTTTCATTTAACGGCCGTTGCTGTCTTATTCATTTTTTCGGTTTTTAGATATATCGCCTTATTGTTCGCTGGCTTATTGTTCGCTAGCTTCAGCCTGGTATTTGCAATAGGATTATAAAAAAATGATGTACAATCATAAGTAATAAATGAAATAGTAGAGCTTTTAAATGTATATTCAAATACACTTTACTATTCACACCTATCCAACATTGCTTTCAACTGACTTGTGCAAGAATGTACACACTATTACATATTTTTAAAAAAGGTAGTTTAACTTCATCATTATCTCCTTCTATTCACAGTCAATTATTTCAATTCAAAAGCAAACAAAAATTCAGCAACAATCTTTTGGTGACCAGGTTCATGTATTGGTTTTCTTTTTTTAAAGAAAGCAACTTGTTTTCTCATATATAATCTGAGCAATGGCCATTCATTGCATTTTTTATCACTGGTCAGTCTTTTTTAAAAATGACAATTTTTTATCCCCCAAGTTCTATCAACTTACACCTCACATTTAATTAGATAAATACTACAGTTGATAGGACAGGTCACGTCGAATTTCCTGTCAACCACTGTTTCGCAAGCATCAATAGTTCGCGCAAACTACGCTTTACAACAGCTCAGGATTCAGGGAATTCGACGGAAAAATATTTTCAAAATTAGCTAAAATATTTTCAAAATTAGCTGAGATGATTTCCCAAGGGCAATACTATATTATTTCATTTTTTTATATAATAAATTTTATATTTCTTTTATATTTGTCAGTTTTCTCTGTCGAAAATATTTGTTTTCAGTTATGCATTTTGTCTCTGTTATAGCACCACCAGCCACTTAATTACAGACAGCATTACTTAACTTTGTACAGGCCATTAAGGTCAAATACAAGTGTATACCAGTTGTAACCTTCAGACGATAATCAACGAGTTCTTAACTATGTCACAACGTAGTTAATTTACGGTATACCTTCTTGGAGAAACTTTGTGGTTATAAATGATAAATTATTTGAATATGTAGCATATAATTTGGTTTATAATTGTTTCGACAGATGCATTTTGCCTGTACTAAGTCAGGAATATGACAGTTGTCATCCATTCGTTTGATGTGTTTGAACTTTTGATTTTGCCATTTGATTGGGGACTTTCCTTTTTGAATTTCCCTCGGAGTTCAGTATTTTTGTGATTTTACTTTTTATTGCTCGTTTGAGAAGTTCTTCTCTTAATGATCCATAACGACTTTCGGGTGTTTGTTTTTGTTTCTGTGTCTCGTTTTTTATCCCCCAAGTTCTATCAACTTACAACTCACATTTAATTAGTTATACTACAGTTGATGAGATTTACTTTTAGTAGAGTAGCAAGTATCGAGTTGTAAAAAGTGAGTATCAAGTTGCAAAAAGTGAGTATCGAGTTGTCAAAAGTGAGTATCGAGTAGCAAAATGTGAGTATCGAGTTGTCAAAAGTGAGTATCGAGTAACAAAAAGTGAGTATCGAGTACTAAAAGGTGAGTATCGAGTTATAAAAAGTGAGTATCGAGTAGCTAAAAGTGAGTATCAAGTTGCAAAAAGTGAGTATCGAGTTGTCAAAAGTGAGTGTCGAGTAGCAAAATGTGAGTATCGAGTTGTCAAAAGTGAGTATCGAATAACAAAAAGTGAGTATCAAGTAGCAAATCGTGAGTATCGAGTTATAAAAAGTGATTATCGAGTAGCAAAAAGTGAGAATGGAGTATTAATTAATAACCAACAAAAACATTATTTGTAAATAGAATTGTTTTAACAAGAAAATATCCAATTTATTAATCGAATCATACTGTACAATTTACAACATAGAGAGGGGTGCAGGTTTGATTCTGTCGCATTGCGTGCTTCACGCCAACTGTTCAACTGAATGAATATGAAGTAAGACCTTTGGTTCCATTGCATTTCTGTGCTGTAGTTGATTTAAACAAGACTTAGAAGTATGTAGATAAAGAATTAAACTGAGTTGATATATAACACATTTAATTTTATATGGTCGGGAGCCTCTTGCCTTTGTTATTCTTGTATGTTTTTTTAATTCTAGTTCATTTATATGTTTTGGAGTTTAGTGTGACATCCATTTTCACTGATACTAGTACACATTTTGTTTAGGGGCCAGCTGAAGACCACCTCCGGGTGCAGGATTTTCTCGTTATGTTGAAGACCCATTGGTGGCCTTCGGCTGTTTTCTGTCCTCTGGTCGGGTTGTTGTCTCTTTGACACATTCCTTATTTCCATTCTCAATTTTAGATAATGTTACATTGACTTTAACAGCGAAAAACTCTTAAAAACTTGATCGTTTTGCAAATATCCAAAACAGCATACTTCCAAGTGAACAACAATTAAAAAAAAAAAGTGAAAAGCAGAATAACAAAAATACCTTATTCCAAAGAAAATTCAAAACAGAAAATATATTCTTAAATGTATAGACTACACGTAATAAGTGTCTTTAAACTGTAAGAGGAAATCTTTTCACTGTTTAGCTCACCCTAGCCAAAGGCTGCTGTGAGCTATTGCCAACACTTGGCTTCTGTTGTCCTCATTTGTAGTTCGCGTTTGCTAATTTTTCATATTTTGATCTTCTTCTAGAGAACCACTAAACAGATTTTTACCAAATTTTCGAATATGTTTCTCTAATTGTCCTTTCTAAGTGTTGATACTTTGTTGTTGATTGGTCAACAAAACATGGCCGCCCTGGTTGATTGTTAAGTACCAGGCTTTGTAAGAACAAGGCAATTTCACAACATGGCTGAAAAAAAAACCCACCAACCTAACCATCCTATTTTGAAGTCACTCTCAATCTGAGTTAGAAATGGTTGGTCTTTCTGCGTGTCTGTTAATATTTTTTGGTTAGAATGATAGCAAATTTCGGAGTTAGTTCCCCTTAACTATTAATTTCCAGTGCATTTTAACTTGATTATATCTATTTATACTAGAAAAGGAAAAGGAACTGAATGATATATTTGTGCACTATTACACATTCTAAATTTAAATTAAGTAAAGTTGAGAGATTCTCTTTGTTGTGTCTTTTCACCACTGCCTGATTCTTAGGTAAACTGGCACTTAATGGTGATTGTATGGCATGATGCTACCTTTGAAAAACTTCTTCTGAAGAAAAGGAATGTACCTATTAAAGTCTTGAGCAAGTTTAGTTTCTTTGGTTCTGATCGAAAATTGAAAATTGAGTTGGCCTACACGGAAGGTCAAAGTTTACAAAGAAACACTATGGAAAATCATATTTTGCTTTATTTTTTTAATTTCTAATGGTGTAAGGAGCAAACAAATAATGAAGAAATGACCATAAGAAGGTGTTCATGAAGTATCAGTGTTTCAGTCTTGTTAGCGGGTCCTACATATAAGGCCTCAAAGGGCAAAATGGGTCAATTTTGTCCAATTATCAAGGATAATTTTTTTTTTGCGAACAGCATTATTAGAGATGTAACCCATGCAAACATACTATATATGTTCCTATCGAGATTTTAAATAAGAGATTTAACTTTGATGTCAATTTGAAATTCAAATGGCCACCGACGAGGTAAAAGTTTACATATAGAAACCCTATGAAATATGAAATTGTGTGTATTTTGCTCTTCTTGTTTTTGATATATTAGCGATAAAACCAGGGTGGCCGATTTCAGGTTCCTATGAGCCTCTTGTTTCACTTTGAAATGGTATGTTTTTTCCAGTTAACAATTCCCTTTTAAATTTTTGATTTTTGAAAATAATAAGTTTCAGTGGACGACCATTTTATATTCAATGGGGAGGAGGTAGGAGGATTTTTTTGGACGTATAGTTTATTTTCACTTCAAGTTTAGTATTTTTAGGCTACAGAACTGAGAACAAGATTCTCTTGAAATATTCAATTATAATTCTTATTTGTTTTTCATAATCACAAATACTTAAAAGTGATTTATCCGTTAGTTTTTTCCTTGGTTTTACTTCGATACACCATATTGCCAAAAACTAGTTACCTTAACGATGGTTTTTTTAATTTATGATTTTCAATTATAATTCTTATATGATTTTCATAATCACAAATACTTAAAAGTGATTTATCCGTTAGTTTTTTCCTTGGTTTTACTTCGATACACCATATTG